CCAAATTGTCCACTATATTTGTGAGTCTGTTTTTAATTAGTTTGTTCTTTTTATTCCTTAGATTCCACATATAAGTGAAATCATATAGTGTTTATCTTTTTCTATCTTAAATACCTTCTAGATCCATCAAAGCAATATCTTTTTCCATCCCCTTCCTTTTAGTCTGTGTGTGTCTTTTAATCTGAAGTGAGTCTCTTGTAGGCAACATGTAGGGGTCTTGTTTTCCTTTCCATTCATCCACTCTGTCTTTCAGTTAGAGCACTTAATTCTTTTCCATTTGAGGTACTTATTGATAGGAATGTAGTTGTTAGCGTTCTTTATTCCTGTTTTTGATACATGTTTTTCTTCTTAAAGAAGTCCCTCCAACATTTCCTATAATACCGGTTTGGTGGTGATAAATTCCTTCAATTTATTTTTGTCTGGGAAGCTCTTTACCTGTCCTTCAACTCTAAATGATAGCTTTGCTGGATAAATTATTCTTGGTTGTAGATCCTGGGTCTTCATCCTGTCGAATATTTTTTGCCAAGCCCTTCTGTCCTGCGTAGATTCTTTTGAGAAATCACCTGCCAGTCTTATGGGTTTTCCCTTATAAGTAACTGTTTTCCTCTTTCTGCTTTTAATAGTCTTTCTTTGTATTTAACCTTTGACATTTTAATTATGATGTGTCTTGGTGTGGGCCCCCTTGAATCCCTGTTTTTTTAAATTCTCTGAGCTTCTTGGGGTTTTATGTCCATTTCCTTCACCAGGTTAGAGAAGTTTTTCATCTTTATTTCTTCAAACAGCTGTTCAACATCTTGTTTTCCTTCAGGTACGCCGATCAGACGGATATTTTGAACCTTAATAGTGTCCCATATGCTCCTTAAATTGTTTTTATAGTCTTGGCATCTTTACTCTTGCTGTTCTGATTGAGTGTCCTTGGCTTTCCCTTACTCTAGATAGGGCGTTTGAGCCTTTTCTTTATTCATTTTGTTTATTCACTTTGTTTATTCCTTTGTTTATCAAGCCCTTATATTTATTAAACAAATATAAATATAGCAAACGTCCACCTCTTGTGCCCATACTCACCAATATCACCTTCGGATATAATGTAGCTGACGTAATACTTAATTTTCCTTTAGTTCAATTTTCAAATACAGTTTTGAAAAATATGTAATTTTATACAGAACATCCACAGGAATAGTTAGCTAAACCACATGAAACTGATGTTTTACAGGTCAAGACACTCAAATATCAGCAATTTCATATAGTTCAATCTAAGTACATCCATCACCCAGCTTAAACATCACCCAGTTAAAATTCATGTGTCCTCTCTTCACATTCCCCTATTTTCATCCCTCAGAGGTGACTGCTCTCCTGAATTTATCATTCTCATGCACATCTCTAAACATTAACCACGTAAGCATTCTTAATCAAGTTTTACATTCCTTTAGTTATGTCAAGCTATACATATTCTGCTATACACATTTGCTCAATATTGAGACTCATCCATGTTGATACACTTTTCCTGTTGAACATTTTGTACATATTGTGTTGTTTTCCTTTTGAATTAAGTGTGATGAGTATATCTTTATGATTAAACTTCTATCAGCTTTTTTTTCCCTCTTGGACTCTCAAATGAAATCCTGGATCAAATTATAGAAAAATATTTTTAAGGCTTTTGAGATATCTTGACAAAATGCTTAAAGTTTTTCAATTCACCCTCCCATCAGCCTACTCTAAATGGTCTACCTTCATAGCAAAAAGCACTACTAAAAAATTAACCAAAAATGAAATCTGAAATTTTCCTGTTTTTAATGTTTTATTCATAAAGTTCCACTTTTTCCTATTCTTCAAACATGATTCATCTCCTACAGCCTCTACTCTACACTCTTCAGCATGAACACTGGAGCGAATTTACCAGTTAAGAATACAGGATTCTTGGACACAGATTTCCATCTAAATTCCAGCTCTGCTGATTAAAACTTGTAGTACTTTAGGCAGTTACTTCTCTTTCTGAAAACAGAAAACACCATCTGCTACATAGAATTGTTGAGGGTTAAAAGAAATAACACATAAAGAGTGTAGCACAGAACCTGGTAGAGTAAGCACACTAATATTTGTCAGATGACAAGGGTAGTTAATAGTATCCACCACAATCCTTTTTTGGAAACTGTATAAAATCTATAAATTAATGAGAAAACCTTGGCACAGAATAAGCATTAAATTCATATTAGTTAGCATACTATCAATAAATAACTTAAAAATTCACCAGAATAATTGTGTTACATCTACAAATTGGAAGAATTAATATCTCTACACTGTTCAGTCTTCCCACCCTGGAATATTATTGGTTTTGACTCATGAATTTAAAAAAAGCTAGAACTTATCTTGCCACAGTTCCACAAGTGCTAAAGAGGGAAAAATTACAAAGTTCTAGAAAACATGGAAAACTCTTATTCTCCTTGCAGATTCACAATGCATATTATTCTTTACAAAGTAGTTGTACTAACTCATGTGGCTCTCTACTTAACAACACTAATTTCTGTAGTTCATCAAATAGAAGACACCAATTTTCAGATGCATGTGTTTTACGTATTACTAAAAAAGGCTTGGTAAGTTTGAAACCAAATCTAAATTTACACCATTTAGGACCTTTCTTAATTTCAGATATTAAAAAAGTATACTTTAAAAATCCATCTTCAGGCCCCAGGTGCGCCAGGCCCGGGTGCACCCTGCGAGTGTGTGGAAGGGGACACCCTGCCTTCAGAGATCCAGTTCTTAAGGGGAAATGGCAACATCCATGGGTCAGGAGTGGAAGTGAGGCAGGGAATTATACAGAAGTGAAAAACAAAAACAATAAAAATCCATCTTAGTATGTATTTTCACTATGGCAACAACATACACATACTGTAGTATAATCTTACTAAAATATGTTAAATACTGTCATTCCTCCTTAATCATGGATTCTGTATTCGGAAAGTCACCTAGTCATTTGCTAAAATTTTTAACTCTAAAATCAAGTCGGTGCTTTCAGTCATATATGAACATGCATAGAAGCAGCAAAAATCTGTCACCTGATGCATGTGTTCTCAACTGAGGTTGACTTGTTTCAGCTTTCATACTATTAACAAATGTTCTTTTCAATGGTCTACTTAGCGCCATTTTGTATACTTTGTGTTTTTTGTTCGTGATTTTGTTTAAAATGGCCCATGAAAATAGTACTTACAGCACAAGACTGTCACCTGCCTTTTAGAGAAAATACATGTGTTAGAAAACCTTCATCCAAGCCATGAATTATAATTCTGTTGGTCATGAATTCAAGGTAAACGAAACTATAAATACGTTGTCCTTAAACAGAAACACACTAAAACAGTTATGTATTGATTAGTTGAAATGTGACCAGAGGCCCATAGGAATCTAACCCTGTATTTTCCCTGGGAGCATTGGTTTAGTATTCACTAACTCGGGTTTGCAGCAACTTTATAAAACTACCACAAATAAATCTACTGCATTTGACACCTAGTCTTTGCCACTATTCTTTTGTAGATTGAATCTCATATTATGTACTAACCTTACCCAAAATATAAAATACACAAATACTTTTAAAGCTTTACTGAGAGGAAAACCTGGTTCGAATAAATGGAACTCTAACATGTTCCTACAAAGAAAATGGTAAATTTTGCTAATTTCTTTTCCTTTTCAAAAGTATGCCCCTTAATTTTTTTGGATCCATAAGAACTTTCACATTAAATGATAAAGACCAATATCAGACATACTTTTTTTTTTATTGCTGTTTTAACTGTAATGTAACTAGAAAATGTTTGCTATTGGTTTAAGATGGACTTTCTTCATCATGTTAAAGTATCTTTCAGTTTAGTTAGGAATAAGTGCTGTTATTAAATGTCATTCTGACATTATAGAAGATCATATGAATTTTGTCTGACTGCTAAATACATTTCAAAATACTAAGCATTCTCACATAATCAACTTAATTATAAGAGATTAAAATATGCTGTGAAATTTGAATTTCTATTATTTCATTTATGGTGCTCTACCTAAATGCAAAATAAATTTAAAAAATCACTAAATTTCACAAAATCTTAAGCTTTAAAAGTTATAAAATACAGCAGCACTAAGATCCTGTGTACTTTTTTGGGGGGGAAGTGGAGCAAGAGAAGCATATTACAGTCTGGTCTGTTTTCCATTCATACTGCGGTGCTTCCTTTATAGCTAATAATGGCAATCAGTTCAAACAGCTTTTTCTTCACATGATTTCTTTTCATATAAAAATAATGACCAATAGTGGAATAAATTCAATATAGTAACCACTGTGGTTTAGTATTACATTTAAACTGTTACTAGACTGGTTTCACATCACAAACATCTAGACATTAAAACTCACAAAACATAAATACTTTTTGTTACATTGGCATATGACTGAAAATCAAAAAAAAGAAACCAATACACAATAGATAATTTGGAGTACTCTTTATCATCAGAGTCCTCACAATTTGCAATTACTTATCAATGTTTATTTAATTCTTCTTCCCTTTTGGTCTATGAGCACTATGAGGGCAGGATTCAACTTATGTTTATTGGCTTCTGCTAGGTCTTTTTTTTTGCTCTCTTCACATCTCTCCACCTTGCTGCATCCCTGGGCTCCCTTGCCTTCCACGTGGGTTCAATAGCACCAACAGATAAGAGGATGGAAAAGAATGAGACACGCACACATACCACATACAAATGTTCTTGCTATTTCTCAATTTATGTAACCCTCTCAACAGGGCCTAAAACCTTCTTTTTAGACAACGATCTTTGCAGAAAATTTCTTCATTTAAAAAACAAAACTCTACAAGCATAATTAAGTGAAAATACAAATTTAGTTGCCCCCAATCCTCAGTAACGTTTTTTTCTTTAAGCATGTAAACAAATGGTAAGTTTTACAAGCAATTGTATATGCTGAGAATTTTTCTCTAAACTTAACCAATTAAAACAATTTTTAAAAATCCCTATTAACACTGGAAAGAATCCAGTTTTGTCATCAAATAAAGTAGGTCTTTTTCCTTTGGTTCTCAAAGGACTCCTTGTAAAAGTACTTGATAAAGGATACACTAACAGGTACATTCCACATTAACACATTTCAATCCAGGAGAATGTAAAACTATATTTTATGAGAGCCTACTGAAAACATAAAACAAAACTAAAAAAATATTAACAATCAGGACAAAATCAATTACTCTTGAATTAGATGACTAATACCTTTTACTAAAGACCTTAGTCTCCATGGAGTAAAACTCAGGGCAGACTTTAGACCCCATTCCATAGAACGTTAGCTCCTGAAGTACCCTGAAAGTATATTACTTCACTTGTAAGGAAGGTTTTACAGAAAATGAGTCTAAGTAAAACAAAATTCATACTCAGTGCATGTGAAGTAAAAAGGTATATATTCTATACGTATTCATAGAAGAAATATTTTAGTTAAAAAAATTAAATGCCTGATCTAAGAATGGAATTCTTCTGAGACTGCCTAGCAGTAATGCTCATTTCTTACTGTGTTAATATGTGTGAATTATTAAAACTTAATTTGATATAGTCAATAGACAACTGTCCTACATTTATGTTTATTAAAAATTGACATAAACAAACAAAATCTGTACAAAAAAATATCCCAAATCACATATCACTTTGAAACAGTAATCTTGAGAGACATTATCGCCTAGGACCCCCTCTTCCTCTGCCCCGGCCACGTCCTCGTCCTCTTCCTCTGCCCCGGCCTCTTCCTGCAACTGAGGGAAGAAAAAAACAAGGCAGGGTAAATTCTCTTCTGTGCTCTTACCCAGAACCACAAAAAGCATCTACAGCCAAGAAAACTTTAACTCAGCTTCTCTTAAATGTGACCTTAGTTACTCCTGCCAACACATTATCATGCACAACTAAGAACTGCTGGCCTATAGAGATTCTTTACTGTAACATTTATTTGTTTGAATATATTTACTGAGAAATTAATCAAGTTTTAAAATATTTTTTCTTTGTATGTCTCAAAATCATAAAATGAAACGCAAATCATTTGAACTTCACAAAATGCGATTATCATACCAATGGAACAGAACATGAACACCATGTGCCAGATTCTGTTACTGAATAGAATACACACAAGTTAATTGAAAGTCAATGAAATTTAAAAGTACTGTATCAAGTAACAACCAAGACTCTTAAAAATCTTGTCATTTGATCTAAGCATAACCTAGTATTTTAATCCATATAGCAATATCCCTGTCACTTGGTCATCCTAACTCTACTTGAATATCAGTGACTGAAAACTCATACCCAAATGAACTTATTTCATCTTGTACAGATATGAATGTTAGAAAAATCATGACATGGAGTTCAAGTCAGTCACATTCTGAATTTCTACCTATTATTTCCAGTCTTATTAATTAAAGCAATAGGGTAAGTCTAGGACTTCTGTTAAAACAAGGCAGATTGACCACACTCTCTAATTCCTTCTGAAATATTGTTCATATAGAAAAGAAATAAAAATGGTAAATACCCATAAGGACCACCTCCACCCCGCTGCATAAAAAAGCAAAGGAAACAGTGGTTGAAAGATTTCACTGAATTCTTAAGTCAGAAAGTAGATTTACAACAGTAAATGTTTAGTAAAAGAAGAATAATTCCTAAAAGACCTAGGACCTTGAAAACCAGGGGTGAGATGATGAGGCCACTGGGCTGAAAACAAAAAAATGGCTGACAACCCTTATGTGGAGCAGTAGACTGGCCAGTCCACTTTCCCGACTTGCAAAGCTAATGATTATTTCCTTAATAGATAAGAGAGAAAAGCTGTTCCTCAAGCTATAGGTTGAAACTTGAAATTTTTAACTCAAAGAGAACAGAATAGAAAACTTAACGGCATTTGCATGTATTAAAACTAAGTCATTGTTCCAGCAACTTTTCTTTCAGCTATATGTATGAGTGGGTCATGATGCAAAGTACAGTTCTTAGTGTGGGTGGAAGGAAAGTCTCAAAATCATTATATTAAGTGACTGTCTATAAAATACTGAGCCTCTTTCTCCTGCCCTGCTCCTATAATGCTGGCTGTGAGGTATACATCTCCCACAATAGGTGACTGGAATCTTATTGTGAGAAAACCAGCTTCAAAAAGATTTTCAGATACTGAAATCTGGGTCTCTTCATTGAAGAAACCAACTCATTTCTGAACCACCCTATAGTGATACCCACTAGCCGAGGAGTCTAGCCTTCCTTCCCAGAATTTCTCTTTTTGGGTCCTTGTTAAATAATACATGGCCAAAGTGCAAGATACTTAAGACTTCGACTTAAAGACCAAATAAAGAGATTAAATAAAAAGAAACCAGAGAAAACAATGTTAAGTTCAGAATAAAACTTAAAAAAAAAAAAATCCCAAAACTGTAATTAAAATCCTATCAGTTAATATCATATACAATAGTTTTCAGATAAGAAAAAATATATCCCTAAAATAAAAGATTCTCGAAAAGTCAGAGGAGGAGGAGGATTGAAGATTAAGTATATGCTGGATTAGAGATTAAGTGCATGCTAGTTTAGAAGATTAAGGTCAAGGAAACTTCTCAGAAAACAGAACAAAAACAGAGAAAAATAAGAAAAGATAAATACTTAGAGAACCAGCCAGAAGACTCAATTATTAAGAATTCCAGGAAGAACAGATCAAAAGGAGAAATTTATCAACATTACAGAAGTAAATTTCTTAGCTCTAAAAGTCAAGAATATCCATACTGAAAGGGTGTACCAGGTACCCAGGAAAAGAATGGAGGAAAAAAGAGAGGACAAGAAAAGATCCCAAGCCAAGTCATTAAAAAATTTCATAATACCAGGAAAAAGATTCAGTCTTCTGAAGTGTGTAGGTGGTGGTGGACCAGGCCACACACAAAGGTATAGGAAGAGTGGCATTAGTGTTTTTAATAATAACGCCAGTAACAATAATAAATACTATACGAACTCGTGGCAACTAAAGGCAATTAAAAAAAAAAAAAAAAAAAGACCTGTGTTGTTTGCAAATGTTTATATTTTGAATAGTGGATTATGGTATAAAAACACCATTCACAAAAACATTTATAATCCTTCAAACTTACCAGCTTCCCTTTTCTTAGATTTCACCTTTGGTTCAACATCCACAAGTAGCGTATCCAGAGGTAAGCTGTCTGGCAGAATAAAATATCGAATGTTATTTCCTCGAATACTCAGTGTTTCCAGTTGTACAGGTTCTCGGTTCTTCAGGGTCATTTTCACAGCCTTAAGATGCGTATTCATGCTGACATCTACACCTAGAGAGAAAAAAAAGAGGGCAATTGTTAGCACGATAAGGCAACCAATTATGCTATCAAGTTACCAAGTTACCATAAATATATTACAAGAGTACTGTTCTGCTACATTGCAGGTGTCCATGACATAATTACGTGAAGCTGGTAAATGGAGGGATACTCTCGGCATAAATAAAAAACCTTCCCTTTGTAGAGACTTTTCCTAGCATGTTATAGTTTTGCATATGTGTACAGCAATGAATACAGCAAGCCATGGAGGAACCCTACTATACATGCCTACTCCCACTGTCCCCATGCATTCTCCTATTTCAGGGTAGACAATGTCTATCGCGTAGTTCTCCCATTGTCTCCATAACTTCCTTATACCACATTCCACCAAGCTTTCACCTTTGCTTTAAAAATAGTCGTCTTATGTACAGTAATAGTTTTCCTTATTACCAGGAATTTAACGTACCTTTTTTTTAAAAAAGAGTGTTACTTTTTTTGCTAATATTTGGATTACTAAGTTGAAAAGTTTTTGAGTGCTCTTTCTCAAACTATTTTTTCCATTAAGTCACAATTTTTAGTATAAGATTTTGCAAAATAAAAGCAAGATTTTCTAGGATGAATATATGGTATTACAGTAGAAATACCTGATTCTTGGGGAATCCTTACCAATATTTCTGAACAAACAGTATAACTAAAGATCTAGTTAATTTCTATCACTAGAAAGTTAAGGTCAGAAAAACATGAATTCTCTTAACTTTCACAACATCCATCTCAAATCTATTGTCTTATTATTATGTTTTCCTCCCTTCTTCCAGTCAGAGAAGAGGTCCTCTTCTTTCCCAAAATTAATATAGTCTTGATACATTCTATCTCCATGGGGATCTTGATCCATCAAGGGAGAAGAAAAAAAATAGGATTCATGAGCTGCTTCTATGTTCTGGGAACTGCATGCTTAGACATTTTAATTTAATCCTTAATATCCCTATGGTAAGTAAGTAGCATGATTACTTCTACTGTGAGGACTAAAATATTTATTCAAAAAGGATATATACAAGATATTTGAAATAATGGTTGTCAGTAGAGGAGAAAAGTAGATTTTTACTAGATTTTGCTTCCCCAACTTACTGAACTCCCCCTCAAACATCATCTATTAAGTACCTACTATATGTTAGGCAAACCTTGCATTATGTTATTTTTGTGTTTGTGTCTTCCGTCACTAGACTGAGTTCCTAAAAAGCAGAGCTCAGGAAAAAGCAGATTAAATCACTGTATACAGAATTTTAACAGGACAGCAATTACACTTCTTCAGATATGGTCAAAGACTATATCAAAACCTTACACTGATTTCTTTCCACAGTAACTGGCACTGCAAAGTTCTAGTATACTCAAAAATAATACTGTATGTTTCTCTTGGTTTACTCAATGCTTGATATATCGTTAAAAATTATTTATAAATTTATAATTTAAATATTTCATTAGGCTCATTAATTCATTTGAAACTTTGTAGTTCTGGAGGGGGAACACCTACTATGAGTGAATCTCAGTGGCCTTAAAATATAAAACTACATAAATAATATCATTAAAGCAAATAGACACGTAAAAAGTCTGAAATACTCCAAAATGTTGTGCCAAGTAATTGCCTTAGTAATGTAAAGTTATGGTTCCTCGCCACACCCTCTCCATTTCCTACATATTTTTTTTTTTACTCAAGATAATCAGACATGGAAACCTCAACCTCTATCTTCAAGAACTTTACAATCTAACAGGGGACACGAAATTCTAATAAAAATAAAATGTAGTTTGGAAGATGTAACATTCCAGGCAGAAGGACATACACAGGCAAAAGCATGAAAGGCACAAAAATCAGGAAAACAGAGGTCACGTATAGGATAACAAGTTATCCAGTTTGGTCTTAACACAAATACTTAAGGTAAGGCTTAAGTAAGAAGGTCCATGAAATGATCCAAACCAAAAAAAAAAAAAAAAAGAGAGAGAGAGATCTGTATTACAATAATGTTCATTTAGTAATCAAACAAATAATTCTGGGCTGCAGGTGGAAGAGATGGAAAAAATAAAGTGTTATAAAGCAGTCCAACCTCCATACCTGTGATTGTTCCATGGACCTGTGTCCCATTCTTTAATTCGATGGTTACAGTTTCATGACTCAATTTCATCAAAAATCTATAAAGACAGTAAGAATAAAATAATAAATTTTCACATTTAACACTTTAAAATCATGTTTAAGTCAAAGGGTAAAATTTCTAGACGTTGAAAATCTGTTTAGATACTATCTGTATCAATTTCTATTAATAATCTACATAAAATTTCAGCTTTCCCTGAATTAAAACCTTAACATTTAAAAGGAACATAATAATAACAGAAACTGTCATTTGGACATTTCTGATTCTCCAAAACAGTGGTCCCCAACCTTTTTGGCACCAGGGACCAGTGCGCCTATGAGAATCTAATGTCTGATGATCTGACGTGGAGCTGAAGTGATGATGCTAGCACTAGGGAGCAGCTGCAAATACAGACGAAGTTCCGCTCTCTTACCAGCTGCACACCTCAGGCTGTGCTGCCCAGTTCCTAACAGGCCATGGACAGCCATGGACTGGTACCGGTCCACAGCCTGAGGGTTGGGGACCCCCGCTCTAACCATTATGCAGCATCCATGCAGAGATTCTAAAGTTGTTATAAGCCACCAAATTGAAATCAAGAAATTATATGGATGAAGGTGGTCGAAAGGTACAAACTTCCAGTTACGAATAAATATGTATTGGGGGTGTAATGTACAACATGCTGTGTGGTATACTGGAAAGCTGTTAAGAGAGTAATCTTAAAAGTTCTCATCACTAGGAAAAAAACTTTTTTCGGGGGTATCTATATGAATGATGGTTGTTTACTAAACTTACTGTGGTAATCATTTCAAAATATATGTAAGTCAAGTAATTAAGATATACATCTTAACCATATACAGTGCAGTATGTCAATTATACCTCACTAAAAATGAAAGAAAAAATTATAATTGGTAGTAAAAGATTACATGCTTATTGTATATGCACGATAAAGTAAAAGTCTCTTTTTAACCCCCTCCATGTGTGTGGGGATATTCTTCTACACCATTTTCTATCCATTCATAAGCATATACATAAAATGTTTTCACGTAATCTGGGCCAGACTTTAATGACTTCGATAACTTGTAGTTCTCATTTAGCAGTTTATATTATGACATTTTCATGCCTACACACACACACACACACACACACACACACAGATATATAGCTGCCCCAAATCCTTTTATGCAAACCCTCATCAACACTAATTGTTACCAATCTTCTAAATTTCTATCAATTTGAAAGGGAAAAAGGAGCAATTTGCTTTTACCTATTACTTGCGAAGTTGAATAGCTTTTAATGGGACATCTGGATTTCTTTTGTGAATACCTATTCACATTATTCACACATTTTCAACTACATTGAATTTTTCTTTCATTTTTTACCAGTTTGCCACAGCCATTCAAGTTTGTGGTTTTCTTTAGTCATATATATATATATTTTAAAATTTTCCATTGTTAAATTTATTATTTTTAAAAATTTTCCATTGTTAAATTTGGGTATATATTTGTTTGGTAAGATGGTTCCCATCCCCAGATTGTAAAAAGTCTCTTATTTTCCTCTAGGTTTATATTTAGAATTTTAATCCATCTGGAATTCATCTCTTTTCTATGCAGTGTGAGGTAGAAATTTGCCTTTATTATTTTCCCCAACTGGATAGCCAGGTGCCTCAATGTTTACTGAATAATCCATCTATTCCCCACTTCATCTAATCTTTTGTTCTCCCCAACTTTTTATTATGAAACACTGCAGAGGAAGAAAAGTTGAAGAATTCACCAATTACTGAAATGTTGCTATCTGTGTGTTCCCCTATACACACCTTAGTTTCATATCATCTAAAGTAAATTTGCAGGCACTTCAGCACGTATTTTCTAATGAGAGCATTCTCTCACGTAACCATTAATATCACATCTAGAAAAATGAATAGTCCCACAGTATGATCTAATATGCAATTTATATTCACGGTTTCTAATCTTTAATACGTACTTTGTACAGCCTATCATAGCATCTATCACACTAAATGGTACATATAGGATTACCTATTTTTCCCTCTATTATAGTGTTGTTGAGGGTAAGGTTTATGACTTGTAATCTAATCCTGGATTGTAATAGGCACTGAAACTTTTGGCTGAAATATTTCAATAATAGAAACCAGCCTTAAAATACTTCTGTAGTGGTATAGAAAGCCACAAAAAAAAGGGAAACCAGCATTCTGCTATGGCAGCCAATGAGAAGTAGCAGCCATGGCTCTGTGCTACCCCGCAGCCGTGGGCCTCAACAAGAGCCAAAAAGTGACCGAAAATGTGAGCAACCCAGGCACAACTACCACTACGGGAACCTTATCAAGCATGCCAAGTTCATGCGCGACAAGATCTGAGAGGTGTGCGGCTTTGCCCTCTATGAGCAGCACCATGGAGCTGCTCAAGGTCTCTAAGGATATGGGGGCCCTGAAGTTCATCAAGAAAAAGGTGAGGACACACATCCGAGCCAAGAGAAGAGAGAAGAGCGGAGCAATGTCCTTGCAACCGTGAGGAAGGCAGCAGCTAAGAAGGACTAAGCCCCATCCCTTCTGTGTGTAATAAAACCTTTTCAGAAAAAAAAAAAAAGGGGGAGGAGAGGAAATTAGACCAGTGTGTTGAATCCTTTTTCCTATTTGCTGTCAAGAAGTCTCTCAATGAACTGGTACTGCTTTATTTCACCAGACAAGAATTCTTTAACTTAGCTCTAAATTTAATAATCACTTATAACTATATTAGCTTAGAATTTTCACCTAATAGTTTACTTCCATTATCAAGTTTTGGGGTTTTAAAAAATCTTTTAGGAGCATTTGACATCTTGCTTCCTAGCAATGTCATCAGTTTGATTTAAACAAAATCTTATAAAAATTTTTAAAAATGTTCTATTTTTATTGACCCACTCATTAACTTTTACTTTTGTAAAAGCTCTTTCAAATCATTTTTGGAAGTAGGCAGGATTAAAGTAAAAATATAATACCTTAGTAATCAAGCAATCTACCACATGGAAGTAAAAAGGAAAACCAGAAAGCAAAAGACATCTGAAACAATTAAAACACATTTGAGAAAGTCCAAAAACATTTCTTTGATAAATAGTATTTATCATTATATATTAATGGCAGTCCCTGTGCTGGGTAACGAGGATTAAAAATGAATAAGAAGAGTAGTCCCCCCAAGGAGCTCAAACTCTAGTAGGAAGGACACATATAAGATATTTTAAAAGCAACTAAATTGTAAAACCCCATGGAGATATACACAGGTTTTTATTAGGCACATAATGTAGCATGGGTAGGAGGGAGTCAGATCTTAGTAGACTTCTAGTAAGAAGCCTGAAAAGGTGGAAATACGCAGCAAAAAAAGACAAGAGCAAAGATATAGTAGTAAGGAACAGCACAATGTACAGAGAAATTATAGGTACTACCAATGGAAGAAATACTAAGTCAAGAGAATGAGTAGGGAAGTTAGGCAAGGTCCTTTTGTGGAGAGCCTAAGCTCTGTTAAAGAAGTCCTCTAGGAGAGCTACGGGAGGGTTTTCATCAATGAAATACAGTGCCAGGGTCACATTCACACTGGAAGACAAATTAGGTGGCTAGAGCAGTACAGAGGATAAAGTTACAGTAATCAAGACATAGGAACAACAAACAGATCAATGAAACAGAATAAGGTCCAGAAATAGACCCACAATCATATAGTCAAGGTGGTCATGGGACTGCCAAAGCAGTCCGATGGGTAAAGAAAACCCTTTTCAATCAATGTTGATATCCATAATAGGAATTTATATTCTATAATAGGAATTTATATTCCATAATAATATGGAATAACTGGAAATTCATATCGAAAAAATGAACCTGGACTCCCAACACACACCACCTGCCAAAATTAATTGAAGATGGATCACAAACCTTAAAAGTTAAAATTATAAAGCTTTTAGAGGAAAATATTGGAGAATAATTTCATGGTTTGAGAGTAGGCAAGTTTCTTTAACGGTAGATAGAGAGCAATAACCATAAAAGAAAAAGCTGGTAAATTAAGACTTCCTCAAAATAAACTCTGCTCACCAAAGACATTACTAAGGAAACGAACAAGCAAACCACAAATTGAGAGAAATTTTATGACAAAAGACTAATGTGCATAATACATAAAGAATCGCTACAACTCTTGTAATTAAAAGAAAAAACGCAATCAAAATCCAACTCTTCACAAAGATGGCGAATAAGCAGGTGACAAAGTACTCTACATCATTAGTCACAACTAGACTACTGCTACTAAACGAGCACTAAAATGGCTAAAATTAAACTGACAACAACAAATGCTGGTGAGGGTGTGGAGCAATTGGAATTCTAATATACTGTTGGTGGGACTGTAAAATGATACAACCACTAAGGATAATGAACTGGCCGCTTCTTATGAAACTAAATGTATACCTATACTATGATTCAGCAGCTCCACTTCTAAGCAATTACCTGAAAGAAAATGGAAAAGAAAGACTTGCACGAGAATGTTCAAAGCCGTTTTAAAGAAAATATGTAAATAACTTTTAAACAGACAGTGGACTACTATTCACTAATAAAAAGAAACAAGTTAATGATGCAAGCCACGATGTGGATGATGAGTAAAAAAAAAATTTTACACAGAAAGAACTCATACTTCATGATTCCAAATATATAAAATTCTAGTACAAGCAAAACTAAGAAGAAATTGGCTGCTTTGAGGTGGGGGTGGGGGGGTGGGGGAGAGGGGATGGAACCAGAGACTGGAAAGGGTTTGAGGAAGCTGAGGTTTTAGTAATGTTCCATATCTTGATGGTGGTATAAATTTTTCAAGAATGGGAAATGTACACTAAATTTCATTCTATATTTACCTCAAGAGGTAATAAAAAACCCTGGGTGAAAAAAGGGAGCCTGAACAGCTCAGTGGTGGCAATTGGAATGGTAGGGAGGGTATCGTGGGCAGCAGAAATAGACACTATAATTTCAGCCTAGAAACCAAAGAGATTGGAATTCTTTTCTGATGAATCCTTCATTACCTGAATTTCTATTTACTGAGATTTAGATATTCAGATAATAATCAAATATTCAGATAACATGGTATCCTTCAGTATCCAAATGCACATTATTTAAATCGAAAAAACAAAGAGAACTGGATAGAGAAATACTTCTATTAGGTAGATAAAAATGTCAAAACAGGGCAATTTATCAGGTATCAGAATTATCTAGATAGGAAGAAGTCAAGATGATTCCCAGGTTTTCGGTTACGGTGACAGTAAGATGACAGTGCCACCAACTGAGGTACAGAAATAAAAAAGTCAACTGAAAATGTGAACCAGTTAGACAAACACCCATTTTCTTGGTGCAAAATACATTCTCCAGTAAGAAAAAATTTTGTTTCTATATTCTAAGACACAGAATAGGATTCAATACAGCCTTTAAATTTACAGAAAAATTTTGTTACAAGGAATATCTTTAAAAGAGACAAACTGATTCCAAAGAGTATGCCAAGTACTGAGAAACTGCTCAAAAATATACTTTAAATTCTGAGACGTTTTCATCCAGTTATAGTACAAATAAAAAGATTAAAAGTTAACCTTAAATGCCCTCTCTATAAACTCCACTCTGAATGGTTTCATGTTATTTCGATTTTATGTTATGTTATTTCAAATTTACTTGTCTGTCTTCACCACAAAACAGAAAGTTCCAACAAGGCAAGGATTTTACTTTTAATGAAATACATTACCAGCGAACAGTGTAACAGGCGACGCTGAGAATCCTTGACTCAATAGGCAATAAACTAGCTGAATTATAATCGTTGGCTTAGTTATTATTAACCTTGAGGTTCTCAGCCTCAAGAAAAAATACTAAAACCAAATATATCAGTAGGTTTACTAACCAAGTTTAAACACGAGATATAAAATGGAAGAAATACTGATTATTCTTGTAATCAGCCATGAATATGTAAAGCGATTCTGCCTCAAGTTGGGAGGTTTCTTCCTAAATCCAAGGCCCACTCTATGGTGAATGCTGAATAACCTTAAGTCTAGAGAGTATCAAAAAATAAACTAAAAAAATAACTTATAGAGTCCATCCTTGATTTAAAACATTTCGGAAATGGGTTTCATTATTCTCGAGAAAACCCTGCAGCTTTAACTACTCTTTTAAAACGCTTTAATTTAAACTATTTATGCAGAACATACAATTTTTCCTTATGTCTCCCACGTTCTCACGGAGCACGGCCCTAGTTATATTTGCTGGTTCCTGAGAGCTGAGATGAGCCCGAAAAGTAACCTAGAGTACGAGTTCTACGCGAAATGCAAATCGGTAGGTAACCGAAAGCAAGATCTTGTAAGCCTGGCGCTGCACCTTTAAGGCCTCTGAATCACTGGGTGGGAAGAAACGGCTAGGCCTTTACGTCCAACTCTTGGAAGACACGCCGGACCCCGGCGCGACCCAGTCTGAAAGCCAGGCCGGAGTGCCGGCGCAGCCAAGATAGGGCGGGAGCGACGGGCGCCGGAGAACGTTAGCAGGCCGCGCGCGCACGCACGCGGCTTTCGCGCCTCCAGTAACTAGGGCAGCCCAGCCACCCGCTCACGGCCCAAACTGTCCCTTCACAGCCCTCATTCTGCTTGGTCACCTCCTTACCTCACGAGCTTCATCCTAGCGGCGCCGTCACTCCTTCGGTCCGAGAATGCACAAAACCCGACAACCAAGGGCCTACGGACAGGAGTATGAATGGCCGGAAACGCCTACTCCCGGGGCTGCAACGTAAAGAGCGCGCGGAGCGCTGCGAACGCACGGCGGAAGCGCCGAGGCCGCGCTGAGTCGCACTCCCTTCCGCCCCCGAGGAGCGCTACTGCGGCCCCTGGCGACTGGAGGTGTGCCTTGCGACTGCTAAGGGCGTTTGGGGCGGGTCTAGAGGGGAAATTTCCTATTAGAGGGAGATTTGAGGAGATTATATTCAATTAGTGGGCACTTCAGAATGGCAGTCCGCCTTGTATTATGTAGCGGCAAGTATATCCGTAAGCGAAAGGAAGTTCTGAGAGAAGCTCAAAGAATTATGCTAATTCTGCTTCCAAACCAGGAACTTCAGCGTTACTTAATGGATCTGAAGAAAATCACACAGTTTAGCTAATTATTTTCACTTTCAATTCTGGTCTCGGACCTCAAAAGGGTACCCTACATTGCCCAGAGATCGTGTTATGCTTCTTTAATAAGCTCACAAACTATTTCATACTTTCTTCTCTCCCTCTCAAGCATTGTACAGCTCCTCTCCCAAATTACTCCCTGCTAATGTTTTCTACTTCTTCGAGAAAACAAGCCATTCTACTTCCTGTTACAAGGGTAGAAATATTATTGCTCCTTCCAAAGGCAAATTCCTCTAAGTTGTATTATGGATCGCTCATTTTCTCAAAAAATTGAGTTCTTCAGTTATCCCCTTCTAACCTGAATTATCAATTTCTCCTCTACTAGATTTTTTTCATCAGCATGCAAATTTACCTTAAAAGCAAAATTCTCTGATGCAGCTCTGGCTACTGCCAGATTTCTTTCACAGAAAAACTTAAGTGAGCTGTCAATACCTGTTTTTATCACCTCCAATTCACTTTTCAAACTACACTGAAACTGCTTTTCTAAAGACCAAAAGCCTCCAAGACCAACTTCTGTTCTCATCTTACTCAACAGCTCAGCAGCATTCAACACAAACACCCTCCTTTCTTGGCTTCCAAAACATCAAGTGCACCAGAGGTTATTCTTATCCCACCAGCTACTCTTTCTAGGTCTCATTAGCTGTCTCATCCTCTACTGAGCCATTACATATCAGGGCTCTCTCCTTTTGGATACCATCTCCTTTAGCTTAGGTGATCTCCTCCAAAACCATGGCTTTAATTTGTATCTCCAGCCTGGACTTCATCCCTGATCATTTGAAATCTTGGATGTTGTAAGGCAATGTTCATCAAACTTTAATGTGCATGGGATTCATCTTGGAGTAAACTTTAGAATGAAAATTCAAATTCAGTTGGTGTGAGCTCTGAAATTCTGCACTTCTAATGTTAAAGAGAAAAATCTACAAGCCCCAAATGGCATCACTTATGCTAAAAGCTCAAGATACCAAGATTTTGTACATGATCTAATTGCAATTTCAACCTCTTCCGGAAATATAATCTTAATTAACCAGTCTGGAATTTTCTGGTCATACATCAGTAAGATAATCTGACACCTAGGCCATCTCCATCCCCCATAGAAAGAAGAGGCAACCTATATGATTCCCCAAAGTAAAGATGTCGTGGCTTCTTTTGTTTTACTAATAGCTCCCTTGCCTCATTCTGCTTCCTATATAAACCTTCTATTTTGTGCAATCCCTCAGTTGCTAGATGGGATGCTGCCCAATTCATAAATAACTAAATAAAGCCAATTAGATCTTCAAATTTACTCTGTTGAATTTTGTTTTGTTTTTAAACACTAGCAAGACTTCAGTTGATGAAGATGCCCCTAGTCTCATGGACCACAATTTGAGTAGCTAGATTGTAATGAACATTTGTGTGCTGCTTTCTCAACATCTATCCCCTGCTTTTCCCAACAGTTTCCAATAATCTGGTGATTCATATGGTCCTAAGGAAGCTAACTCTACCCTTATGTCAATAATCACATTCCATTTCTTGGTCCACAGTGGGCTTGGGATGAAAGATGATTCAACCAGAACTTTGAAGGGAATACTCTTTACTTTTGGACATGAACAGAGAGGTAGTTGTTGGAAACTCCCTTAGAGCTGAGAGAAGAACCAGTCTTAAGAGAGAGTTAAAAAAAAAGTCATGATATTAATGAGCCCCTGGACTAAAAAAATGCCTAAATTTATTTAAATTAAAATTAAATAAAATTAAAAATTCAGTTCTTCAGTTACAATAATCACATTTCAAGTGCTCAATAGCCATCTGCATCTATGGCTACCCTTTTGGACAGTGCAGATATAGAACATTACAATCAAAGAGTTTGATTAGACAGTGCTGCTGTTTATTACCATATTTATTTCCTTATTTGCATTTGTTATTTGTTTACTTATTGACATGAAAATGTAAACTGTCTGAAGGCAGAAATTTGTCTGTACTGTTTAGTTCTGTATCCCCAGCATCTAGAATAGTGCCTTGCATACAACGTGCCCTTAGTAAGTATTTGTGAAATAACTAAATGTCTGCCCCCCATTAGAATGAACGCTGCATGAGGAAGGGAATGTTGTGTGCAGATGGTTCATTGAAGTATTCCTAATATTGAGCACAGGGTACTGCACCCTATTATCTTCAAGGCTCTTCCTGCTTTGATCTCTGCCTACTTCTTAATCCCTTTTCCCCTCAGTGATATTGGAATATTTGAGTTCCTGGAATCCTTCAAGCTCACTCTCTTCTCCAGACTTTTGTACATTCAGTTCTTTTATCTGGCTAACACCTACTTGTTCCTTCTCAAGTTTGTGGGGCCAGCATTATTACTTGTATGTGTTAATGGTGGGTCTCCCAAAAGATGGCAAATTGAAATGTCATTGTCATTATACCAAATTATTAAAATTTTTCTGTTTTAATTTTCTACTTTAAAATTTTTTAGAATTTTTACTCTCTCATCTTATAAGACTTTCAGGAATCCTAAAATATAATCAACAAGAGCGGAGCAACAAAGAAAAAGACTTTATTTGCTGGGAGCAGGAGGGTAAGTCTGAAAGTGAGACTACCCTGTCTTCTGGGAGTTTGCAGAGGTTTTAAATGTTACAGACCTTCAGATTGGTCACAAGAAACAAAAGGAACAAGGAAAGGAGAATGTGATGTGTGGGGCAATGCAACTATTCTTAGTTTTTAGAAGTAGATGTCCCAATGATAAGCAAGTATAGAAAAGTATATTCTGCAGTTTAGAGTCAGGAAGCAAAACAACTTAAATCCACGAGACTACATTCACAATTTTAAGTTTATCAAGAGAATTTATAAGTAGGAACTTGCAGTTCTTTGTGTAAGGATTGTGAAAATGACCTTCACAATTTATAGAACCATGTTAAACACCAAGATGCATCGTCTAGAGCACAGCAAGTATTTTTAGCATGTATGTACACATGGCAAAAGGTGAAACGATCAGAGCTTTCCCCTAGGACTTTCTCAGGAGCTCTTAGGAATGAAGGCCTCTCTTTTTACTGGGATCAGTTTGCTGTGAGCTATACAATCTTTGAAAGCTCAGTCAAGCAAAATAATTTATTCAGTTGATCATGATTATTTTTTAGTAGACGACCAAATCAAATGAACCAAATTCTAAAGATCATAGACAGACAGCTCTAAAAGAAAACTATTGATGGAAGGCAAAACAAATTTTGTCAAACATATTACAGAATAATTAAGATTTAATCAAAACACAAATTGAGACCTCTGGCATTAATGAATCAGAAATGAAAAATATCTCCTAGAAAGATAAAAACTCTTAAAGAGATAAAGAATAATACTCGAGAAAGTCACTTTTTCCCATAAAAGTAAAAATTTATTTTTATTGAGAAATAATTGACATGTAAAATTGTATAACTTTAAGGTGTACATGTTGATTTGATACATTTATATATTGCAATATGATTACCACTGTAACCCACACCTCTGTCACATCACACAATTATTATTTTTTTTTTGTGGTGGGAACAGTTAGGAGCTAGTCTCTCAGCAACTTTAAAGTTTATAATATAGTATTGTGAAAGCAAACTATGTTATACTTTCACAGCATGTTTAAGAACCTGACTATATTTAGTTTTAGATAAGAAAATCTAGAATTGCAGACATGAATTATAAATCGAGTATGATTTAGCTATGCATCAAACATATATACATATGATTTCACATGGTCTGTAAGGATTCCTATGCTCCTGATTGTGGCCAGCACAACGAATAATGTGGAGTAGATTACTCAGAAGCAGAGGCCTATTTTGTGGGAATGGAAACTTGTAAAGATGGTTTGTGTGTTCGCATGGCAAAATTTGAGTTACTGAAGTGGTTTACACTTGAAAAGAAATCCCACCAATTGTCTGAGAATCTAAAGGTAAAGGCAAGTATAAGCCAGATACTCTGGTAGATAACCAGCTTTAACTAGGCCAGCTGTCTACTTCTGAGTTTTTTCCTCTCAATTTAAGCCATTTGGCATGTATCAATAAACTATATACATTGGGGTCTGGGGAGCAGTCAGGTTTTTGCTAGGCTAACACAACATGTGGTGATGTGGGCAATAGCCTCGCCCATCAAAACCAACCTGTTTGGTTTTTTAAACCAGAGACTCTCTCCAGACTTAACTGACAGGCAGTTCGATAAAGTTTTGTGAAAGATATATTGTCAGAAAAACAACAGGCTTGACAAACTTTGAGCACATTTTAATTGTATTTGTCTTCAAAAGAGGAGGTCTTCAGATTCTCAAAGGCAAGAGTTCCGATTTATCTATTCTCATAGATTTGCAAATAAGAAAAGTGTAGCATAGAAATAGTGTTCAAAAGCAGTCTGGGAACCACGAATCCTAGTGATAGAACCCTGGATTCTATCTTTAGAGGCTTCGAAGAACCAAAGCTTTTTGTTTGAATACCTGCTATGACTAAACCTAGTGGACTAGTCTACAATTTCTTGTGTAGACTCTTGCGCTCTTGTTCACAAGGAGTAAAGTGTGCAAGAAGGTGAAGCCCCGCGTTTTCTGGAGGCGCTGGAATGCAGTACAGGGGAAGGAGAGAGACGGGTCAGTTGTCTCCTCTTTTCTTTACATTGGCCCAAATATTAAAAATATTTGAATGAGAGGTTGCAGAGAACAATA